CTCAAAAAAATAAATAAATAAAAAAATAAATAAATAAATAAATAAATAAATAAATAAATAGAGATTATTGCTACAGTAAGCCGAGGATGAGATATGGTGGCTCTAGTATCCATAATGACCTGGGAATGAAGACTAAGGGTAAATTCAAGTCACATTTAGAAGAAAACATTTATATAATTGGTGGCAGATTGGAAAGAGAATGAATGAGAAGATCATAGATTCAAAGTTGAAAGAAGGAGCCAGTGTGTATAAATTTGTATAGACTATATGATGTTAGAATAGAGTTTCCGGGCTTATTCTGAGATTTGTATCTGTCTGTAATTATTAAAGAACTAGCAACTTATGAAATTTTTTTTGTAGTCAGATGATAAGGTGATTATTCACATCAACAACGAGCTAAGTAAAAACTGCGTAAACAACAGAGGACTCAACATATTTGCAGTAGAAGTGGCACCCAAATCTACAATGGTAATGTAGTATTTTCTAATTAAAGCCTTTGTTTTATCTCTTTGAAAAGAAATATTTGCTATTTCATGCAACAAATGAATGCAAAATAGGAAAGGAAGTGGGAAATCATTTTAAGTATGATATTGATGGCACTGTCATTCCAAGAAACTGGAGACTTTGGTTCTAATCCAGTTGTCACTATTTGGGAAGTTCATTTACCTCTCTGTTCCAGTCTCTTTAAATGTAAAATTAAGATAATATCACTAGTTTTAGGTACTTCACAGAGTTAATGTAAAGATAAAAACAAAATGATATACATGAAAGCACTTTTTAATATGATGTAGAAATATAAACCTAGTTAATAGTAATAAGAATTTTGATAACCCAAAATGTTTTTATCTACATTATTAAGATTTTTCTCAGGTACCCTGAGAAGGAAGACACCTCTGAGTTTTAGATAGGCAACTAAGCCAAGAGTCGGAAACAGCTATAGTTCTGGTGTTGGCAGAACTCTGGGTTTTGTCTGTAGTTCAAACTCAGGGACAGATCAGTAAACCTGCTGGATCTAGTGAAGGGAAAAGGAAAAGCTTTCTATTCTTATCTTTTCCATGAAAATCCTTAAACATCCTAGAGCAGGGTAAAGAGGATTGTCTTTCCTTTTTCTCCGATTAAGATTTTAGAAAATGCTCGGGTTTAGCGAGGAAAGGATATTTACTCACCTTTCCTCTACTCTTCTTTACCTACCTCACACACCAGCTGCAACTACCACATTAGGGCACCATTTGGACTAGATTATCCTGTGAGACCTCCGATCATAGATTACCAGTCCCGTTTGAGGACAAATTCTCCCTGACAGGGATGTTTCTACACAGGCCTAGAAATGTTGTCCTATTGAAAAATCAGCCAAAACTAACAAAATGTAAAAGGAAAGTAATAGATTTTTATTTTTATGTGCAGGTTTGTCAACATGTAATGCCTCTGAATGAACGACAAGAATGGATATGTTATTGTGTATATTCCCTTATTTCTTAAATGATTCCACTTGGAACTGTCAAACTAAGAAGAATTATTTCAGATTTAGTCTGTTCTTATTGATCAGCTAAATGCTACTCAACATGACATGTGCCTAAATAATAATCTATTTAATTATGTGCATTTGCATTTTGTATCCCTGTTACATGCTTTATTATTAAAATATCAATTAAAATATCAGAATGTTTCAATGTGTGGCCTTCTTATTTATTTAGTGGAAAATCTGAGCACATTTTAATTTATGAATAGCAAGTCAGTATAAAATTGCAAGTGAGATTTTAAAAAGTAGTAGTCAATGAATTCTGCAGAATCCCTCACACCTGCTTTGGTGGAATAGTGATGAGTACAGCTAGCTGCCTTTCAAAATCCTTTACACTTCAGGATGTTATTTGTTGTACTCTTCAAGAAAAAAAACTAAAGGAAAATATAAATAATATCGCCATTTAATTTTCAATCAGAAACAAAATTAAAGCAACACTTGGAAAAATTTATTTTTATATTAAGAAGCCAAAATCTAATGATAATAGTAGAAATATTTTTTCCTAATAGTAAATCTGTATTAATTTATCTGTGAATTGCTTTTAATCAAATGTATTTTTAAATAATAGGAATTAAATCTATATTGTTTAATAAAGCAGTGCAGGGCATGAGAAATTATATTAAACAATTAAGAACTATAATAATATCAATAACAGAACACTTGGTCAGTAAATGTCAGCTTTTGAAATATGAATACCATTTGATAATACATTATTTTTGTATCCACTACATGTTAACACACAGTTTAAATGTCTGTTGTATTTTTGGCCTTTGACTTAGATATCTGTAAAATGGGTTGTCATTATTTAACAGTTTGAATTCTTCAGATGATATGTCTTTAAAAGTAATGAAATGTGAAAACATTTTATTAATTGCCAAGTGCCTTATAAATGCAATAAAGGTGACCATATATTCTGTTTCACAAGGTATTGAGTTATAGGAAATGAATTATCTGACTGTGATACTAAAACAGTATAATAAAGTGGTTCTCTATGCCCAAAGTTGTAAAGGTACTTTTATAATAGGCTGATAGGTGGCATAAAGAGGTGTCATTGAAACGTGGAGACTCAAGAAAAAGAACAATGAGTACTTAAGCCTTACTTTTCACCACGGTCACCAGTTAGACATAGCAAGTCTTTTTCCCCCTTCCCATTATTCACTTCATAGAGAGGAAAAAAACAAAATTGTCTTAATGGTCTTATTTTCTTTTTTTAATTTTAAAGATGTGGGATACAATTGAGGGTTAGGTATAAAAATGTTCAGTATGCAGATACCCCTGTTGATGAAGTGTGCTCTCCCTCTCTGGCAGTTTGCAATTACTGCCAATCCCTTTCTTAAAGTATTTTGATAGTTGTTCAAGGTCTGCTTATGAGTGAGAACATGTAATACTTGGTTCTTTGTTTCTGTGACAAATCACTCAGTATCGAGTGGCCTCTAAGTCCATCCAAGTTGCTGCAAAGATCATAATTGTGTCCTTTGTTATGGCTGCATAATATTCCATTGTGTATATATACCACACTTCATTAACCCAGTCGTCTTTAAATGGGCAGCACGGTTGGTTCCATGTTTTTGCTGTTGTGAACAATGCTGCAATAAGCATGCATGTGCAGGTATCTTTTTCATAGAGTGATTTGAGTTCCTCCGGGTATATTACCTGGAGGGGGATTGCAGGGTCATATGGGAGGTCGATTTTCAGATCTTTTAGAAATTGCCACACTGTTCACCACAGAGGCTGTACTAGTTTACACTCCCACCAACAGTGTAGAAGTGTTCCCTTTTCCCTGCATCCTCTCCAGCACCTGTTGTTACTTAAGTTACTGATGATGGCCATCCTGATTGGAGTTAGGTGGCATCTCGGTGTGGTTTCAATTTGCATTTCTTTGATGATTAGTGAGGCTGAGCACTTTTTCATGTATCTGTTGGCTTTTCGTATGTCTTCTTTTGAGAAGTATCTATTCATATATTTTGCCTACTTTGTAATGGGGCTGTTTTTTCTTTTCGGCACGTGTGAGTTCTTTGTAGATCCTAGATGTTAGGCCTTTGTCAGATATGCACTTGGCAAATATTTTTTCCCAATCTATGGGCTGTCTCCCCGCTCTCTCAATGGTTTCTTTGGCTTTGCAGAAGCTTGTCAATTTGATGATATCCTACTTGTCTATCTTATCTCATGGCATGGGTACTTGGGGTTTTGATCAGGAATTGGTTGCCAGTTCCAATTTCCATAAGGGTGTCTCCTGCATTTTCTAAGGTTTTTATAGTTTGAGGTTTTACATTTAGGTTTTTGATCCATTTAGAGTTGATTTTTGTGTATAGTGATAGGTAGGGGTCTTGCTTTAATCATCTACATGTGGTCAGTCAGTTTATCCAGCACCATTTACCAAATAGATTCTCCTCTCCCCAGTGGTTGATGGTGGAGGCTTTGTTGAAGATGAGTTGGTTGAGAAATTGAAGTTTTGCTTCTGGAATCTCTATCCTGGCTGTTTTGTTTATTGTAACATTATAATAAATCTAACAGTCTGGGGGTGTGATGCCTCCCACTTTGTTTTTGGTTTGTTTTCTGGTTTTGTTTTGTTTTGCTGAAGATTGTTTTGGCTATTTGTGGTTGTTTATGTTTCCATTTGAATTCTTGTATTGTCATTTTCAGGTCTGAGAAATTTAATGCGTATTACGTTAAATCTGTAGATTGCCTTGGGCAGGATGGACATCTTAACAATGTTGATTCTTCCAAACCATGAGCTTGGAATGTTTTTCCATTTATTTGTGTCATCTTTGATTTATTTGAGCAGTTTTCATTGTATGTATTTATTTTCTAGTTTTCATTATAAAAGTCTGACTTCCCTGATTAGGAAGATGCCAAGGTATTTCATTTTTTTGTGGCTATTGTGAATGGGATTGTGCTTTTTATTTAATTAATTAATTAATTTATTTATTTTTGAGTTGGAGTCTCACTCGGTCG